TGCGATTTCAAAAATCAGATATAAGTAAAGAAATAAACGAATTACATTTTTATTTAAGATTACCAAAGTACAAATAAAACATTAAAAATAAAACTAAAATTGCTAAATTGATTGTTTAATACAACAATTGATGCTAAACGAGAATAGTTCGAGTGCTGACGCGGGTAGATATAAAAGTAAAATAAGATTACATGACAGAGATAAAAGCGTTTGTTCCTCCTTACAAAGTTTTTCACCCAAAAACTTTTGGACTAGTCATCCCCTTTTCATCTTTATGAGATTCTCGCGAGAAGTAAGACAAGTAAGAGAGAGTTTGATAAAACTTGAAAAGTTCGTAGAAACAGAAGAGAATAAATGACGAAGGTAGCCAAAAAATAAAAAGCCAAGTTACATATGCAGGTCGCACCCTGAGATCTGATCATTTCTCTTTTATCTTTATTTCCTTTTTATTTCGGTATCACGCTAACACATAAATTAATAATCTAATTTGTCTTTTTTTTGTGTCTCGACGATTTTACGGAGACATTTTTTAAAATTGTGCTAAATTTTTATCTCACCTTAGCTTCTTAACTAGTATAAAGCTTTAATTTGTTTTTAATTGATATCTGCTCTCTGAGGAAACTGCATAAAAGATAATTTCAATTGTCTAATTTAAAAACTTGTATTTTGCTCGTCTTTGGTTTGTCTATGTATTATTTATCAACTTTTAATTAAAATTTTAATGATTATTACACAAATTTAGTAAAATAGTTGTATTTTTCTTTTTTTTTAATTAGAAAATGCGTTCTATATAAACTAAATTTTTTAATTTAATTTATATTTATTTTTCTTTAATTGAAAACCAGCGAATACATTTGTACTTTCAATATTACAATTGCATTCGGATTTATTATAATAATTATTGTCTGCTTGAAGAAAAGATTTTTATTTATGGGTATAAAGTAGTATGCCTTTATGCTAATACATATAGTTCCTTTATACTACCTATTATGTACACGGTCTGTCCCAAAAGTTTCTAAACTTTCTTCATACGAATGGTATTATTAGTAGCATCATCTATATAAATATAAAGGTTGCACTATCTTCATTAAAATTTCGTTCATAAATTCTGTAAGTTGAATTGAGGTCCCTCTCTAACGACTCTTTACTACACAAGTATAAAGCCGACAATATCTTTGTGACACACGTTGAAAAATCACTTGGAGCAAAGAGCAAATATTCAATTCTGTGTGAAATGAAACATTTGCTGCCAAGAATTATTCGGGTTTATCTTCAATATCGAGCGCAAGGCAGCTGCAGATCGCTTATCTGACAATGCATAACAATGCTCCGACTGACAAGTACATCACCGTGCGTAAATTTCTCGCTTCCAAATCAGTCCTAGTCCTTGATCATCCCCCACATTTGGCACCAGATTTGGCATGTAACTATTTTTTGTTCCCGAAGTTAAAATAAAGCTGAAGGGAAAGCAGTTCGACCCTATTTTGGACATTCAGAAGGCTTCGACCGAAGCCATTTTGACCATTTCAAAAAAGACTCAGCGGAGTTTTCTAAAGCTATACGATCGTTGTAAACAATGTTTTTCTTTGGAAGGGATGTATTTCAAATGTAATGATTATAAATAAACATTTATAATGATTACCTTACAGAGTGAATTTTAATGAAAGTTCGGAAACTTTTGGAACAGACCGCGACGTGTATATTTGACAGTATATTTACAAAATAAATTTCTTAGTTTTATCAAACTTAGGATTAAAAAATTGTACAAATTTAAAAATTGCGTACTATCGCATTTGTCATGTCAAACATATAACAAATGGATTGTTAAATTGTATAATAATATAATTATCTCAAATTACATATTATAAAAAATGTGATAATTATGAGTGATAACTATATTACAGAAAATATTTATAAAAACGCTCCTCTAAACATATGTATACATATATTAGTAAAATGCCATGATCTGGCGAGACCGTTGCGCATTGCAGCAACTCTAACCAACACTTCTAAACTATGTACATATAGCTAATGCAGCAGTATGAGAGACGCCAACAATAGTTCGGTACAACTCCACAAACTTTTGCATCATAACTATTGCGTACAATACGTTAGTTTGTGTTCTTAAAAAGAGATTTTAATTAACTAAATAATCTATTGATGCAAATAAATTATAAATATTTATATATATATGTGTGTGTGTGTGTGT